GAGATGATGAGGATGTAGGAAAAAAGGATGAGTAAAAGGGGTACCAGGATAACTACAACTGTTAGCATGGGAAGAGCCGCTTCATGTTTGTAAGTATTGCTGGAGGCCAGTCTCAGAACAGGCTTAATATCACAGAAGAAATGGCTGATTCTATTTGATCCACAGAAGGGAAGGGTGAGGACTGAAATAGATTGCCCCAAACTCAGAAATACACCAATGCCCCACGAGGCAACAGCAAGCTTAGCACATTCTCTGTAGTTCATGATATATGGATATTGCAAGGGTTTGCAAATGGCAACATAGCGGTCATACGCCATGACACAAAGAAGACAACACTCGGTGAGACCAAAGAGAATGGAGAAACACATTTGACATCCACACCCCCAAAAGGATATCGTTGGATTCTCTGAGAATAAGTTCAGGAGCATCTTTGGGCTGGTGTTGGAGGTATAACCAATTTCCAAAAAGGACAAATTCCAGAGGAAGAAGTACATAGGAGTATGAAGGGTAGAATTGAGCATGGTGAGGAGGAAAATCAGGCTGTTGCCCATCAAGGCCATGAAGTAGAATGTTAGAATGAGACAAAACAGAAGTTCTCGCATGGTCTGGAGATCTGAGAAGCCTAGTAGGACAACCTCAGTCAAGCAGGACTGGTTGTCTTCTTTCATGGTATCTTCTAGATCAGAGCCTGATAACATTAAGAGGATAGTTAAATAAATAATTAAACAATTTTCCTTAACCATTTTTAACAATGAGATAGCTTTGTTTCCCCTGAAACCTATTTCTTGTTTCCTTATACTAGAAGTTGTAAGTTGGATCAAGTCCTGGAAATAGGAAATGGAGAGTACAAATTCAGTTTAGTGCTATGTGTGCTTTGGGCATGATTACGTCATATTAGTGAATAACTCAACGATTCTAGGATGATTTCTCTGAATAGATTTGTCTGAATCTTCAATGCCAGAATTTTGAATATGGCCATCTTGAAGATAGGGCAGATGTTTGATTTGGCTGGACTACAGTTTCATAATTTTCTTGTTTATTATTTGATGTATTCTGTCAATAAGTATTCAGAAAGAATTAGGTCAGTATTTATTGATTTCATTTAAATTAAGAATTTTCCATAACTGAAAGTGTGTATGTGGATTGTGGCTGAAATCGTAAGACAGAGGGAAGATCGCAGGTTTGAGAAAACTGACTTAGACAACGGCAGATTAACCACCTTTAAATGTGATTTGTACCCATTGTTTATCGTCAATGAGCAGCCATTCCTGTTAGCTAAAGAATGCTTTTTCTAGCTAGGCAGAAAATGAAAATGGGCAGAAATTTCAGGCATCATCTGTTCCAGGCTGAAAAGAATTCACTGTTAAAGAATAGGTGAAACAATGACAATGAAACTCTCTTAGTGTTCTACTGAATATCATTTAAAAATAGAACTTTTCGTGAAATTGTACAAGAGGAAGAACCAACCCACCAAAATGCAATACTCAGGGAAAGTACTAAGTATTACTCTTACTTTTGAATTGCTTTGTGCTATTTTTAGAAAAATCGGGTATTTCTTCTTGTGAAGAGCTGGAAATGCTCCAATATGCTCTGACAATTCAAGGTCTTGAAGATGCTTCCGCCACAGAAGAGTCTTCATGAATCCCTACTTCTGGAGAAAAGTATTTCATATATGTAGGTATTTTGCATCAGCCAACATGAGAGACCACGAAGGAGGCTTTAAAACCACATGACTCCTAGAGGATCAGAAGTTCTAGAGAGACGAGAGGACTCTTTTCTCTAACAAGATCGCCTGAGAGAAGGCTGAGGATTCACCCTGGGGATCTGGTAAATGAATACCAAGAGGACCACCTGGGCCTTGGGGGAAGCCTTGCTTTCAGCAGAGTGAGGAAACACAATGCCCTCAGATGCTGGATACCTTGGTTTCCCTTTCCAGGACTCTCTGACCATTTTCCTTGCTGACTGAGGCATTTTATAGGCATTGTAGTCCAAAAGGTAATGCCTACCTGTGGAATAATTTTATTGTTGCTGAACACTCTATTGGTCATGATGATCAATAACCATGTGGAAAGCCTTCGGGCCAAGCAGCATTTTAATATGTCTCTTCCTCCCTGAGCTACAGAAAGGCCAGTTTATTTCAGTTCCACTCATATTTCTTCCATACTGTCTGATATCCACATGATTTCAATCTCATCCAGAGGAGTACGAATATTAATTCTTCATCACTAAAGTATTCATATTGCTGTTTTATCCTTATAAGCCTCCCATAATGTTGCTTGAATGGGTGGCCATAGAAATGGAAATTGTAAGTAAATCTATCACCCAATTGAATCTCCAAGGAAATAATTTATCCATAATTTTTGCTGGCTGCTGAACTGTGCTGTTAACTCCTGAAAGCAGTTTAATCCTACAAGATCAGAAGTCCAGAGAGACGAGGTTGCTGTTGTCTTTATGACTCCTGGTTCTTCATTATGAAGGAGGTGGCTGAGGACAGCTATGGCTATGAGGGCCTACCTAGATCCATTTTATGCACAATTTATACCTATGAGAGGGTTGAGAGGCAGTACTCTGGCTCACTGATGCTTTAGTCACTTGCAGGACCACCTGCCTTCAGTGGTTACCACCCATCCCACCAACACTAACAAGGGGTGCGTACTCCAGGTCCCTTCGTAAAGCAATGACACCTAATGGAGACACGGTTCCTGTGCCATTGGGCCTGCTCTATGAAACAGCCTCACCCGAGGTTCAGATTGCACTGACCCATTGGTCTTCCAGAAGGCCTTCAAGGTCTGTCTCTTCCCACAGTCAGTGGGGTCAGGATATTAGTGGAGCCTGTATGGGTGCTTTGTTTTATTCTGTGAACACCCTCAATTAATATTTAAATTGGCGTTGCCTATGTGTTTTTTATTTTGTTAGATTAGGGTTAGGATTAGAGCACATGTTGTTGTTGTCGTTCAGTCATTAAGTTGTATCTGACTCTTCGTGACCCCATGAACCATTTTGTGCCAGGCCTTCCTGTCCTTCACTGCCTCCCAGAATTTGCTCGGTTTCATGTTCATTGCTTCAGTGATGCTCTCTAACCGTCTCATCTTCTGCCGTCCCCTTCTCCTTTTGCCTTCAATCTTTCCCAGCCTCAGGGTCTTTTCCAAAGCGTCCTTTCTTCACATTAGATGGCCAAAGTGCTTGTCCTTCACTATCAATCCTTCCAATGAGCAGTCAGGGTTGATTTCCTCTAAGATTGACTGCTTTGACCTCCTGGCAACCCAAGTGACTCCTAAGAGTCTTCTCCAGCACCCCAGTTCAAAGGCATCAATTCTTTGGTGCTCAGCCTTCCTTATGGTCCAGCTCTCACAGCCATACATTGCTACTAGAAAAACCATAGCTGTGATTATGCGGATCTCTGTCGGAAAGGTGATGCCTTTGTTTTTTAATATACTGTCTATGTTTGCCATAGCTTTCCTCCCAAGGAGCAAGCGTCTTTT